GAAAAATACATAAAAATATTGAGAAAGTTATAAAAAACATTATTTAAATATCTTTATCAATAGGGTAGGTTAGGTTAGGTTATCGGGTTTTGTTCAAGTGACCACCATCTTTCGATCCCCCACCTCCTCCCGCTTGAAAATATTTTTTTTATTAGATTTTATTTGAATTATAGTGTATGAAAATTGTCAACTTTTTATAGCACAGTGGTAGGGGAGACCTCCTCTTTCGATACCACCCATCCCCACCCCCGAAGGGGGTTGGGGCCATCATTTAGACCTTTACCGGAAATTCTTAATATTCTTTGATAGATTCACATTTCAAAACTCTGGATGCATTTTCCTTTGATTCAGAAAACGTCCAAGCCTCGACATCATAGAGTAATATTGAAAAATTATAGCAATTTATCAGTCTCTTCTTGTGGGTGGTCTTGTCAGCAGAGAAAGTGTTTCACTAGTGTAAACATTGCTCTAGCCTTCACCAATTGTAAGAATAATTTAATTTGACTCCGTTTCAAGTCTGCCGATGTTTTTAGTGTATAGAAAAGCAATTAAACTGATTTAAATTCTGTTTGAAAATGTTAAGTTGGTAACAGTATGTTTAATTGAGGTTAGGTTTTGGTAGGAAAAGTTTCCCTGAGTGATACTTACATGATATTCATCCGTCCATGTTTGGACGGGATCAAACAGTACCTAAATAAAATACAATCCTTCATTTGACAAATTATTTTATAACATTATCATACAATCATTATTCTACTTTTTACATAAATAATTATTTGATTGACACTTATTCAGACCAACACCAACAAAAGTACTTCACAATTACTAGTGGATAAGCTAAAATCCCATTTATTTTCTTATGGTGGTTCATTTTCGTTCTTTTCGTTCAATTTTACCTTCTTCGCGCTTACTCTGACAGCACGGCTATCAGCTGTTGGTAGCCATCTTTGAAAGCTGTCATCTTTGGAGTAGGCGTGGAGAGAGTAAATACAATTGAACCAAAGGGACGAAAATGAACCACCATTCATGGGATTTTGGTCCCATTTCGTCATATTAGATTATCTATCACTATCTACGTAATTCATTTAAGCTACAGTAGTTCAAAGCCTTCTAAATTATTATTAATTATAAATATAATTTATCAAGCATCTCCAATCAAGTAAATGTAAAGTTATAGTCAAAATAAAAATCTTCAAAAATTGCAAATGTAATAAATAGCATACCAGCGATGCAGTACAAATATTGTTTGTACCTCCATTTGGAAATAATCTCCTGCAACATTGTAGGTAAGGTAGATTTCACTGTTAACTGCTAACACCGCACTAAACAAAATCAAAAAAAATTATCTTTTTACATTTTAAAAACGCATTTCTCAAAGTGTCGACTTATCCGATTAAAAGGCAGTACTTTTATATCAGTTTAGTCTACATATTGCTACAATTATTTTTAAATACTTATTATGCGTTTATCTTTTCGCAATTGTTTTATTGATGTCTGTCTTAAATTTTGTATATATCACTTATCAAACTTCTGTATTTTTTTTGTGATTTTCGAGTTACTAAAAAACCAAAAAAAATGAAGATTAAAATAGGTTGAGTTTTCGGTTGCGTTGCCGTGTTCGCAAGTCACAATTGGCAAACTCTGCAATAAACTATATGTAAGAATGGACATATCTTCTTTCATGTTTCCGCATGGGGCTACAGCTGTAGTCTTTTGTTGNCGAAATTGATTCTTGTTTATAAAAAACAACATGTATTGTAACTGATAGATGTTTAAAAATTAATATATTTACGAAAACTTTTTTACTTAACTGTATCCAATTTAACACCTATTGGCGACTCTTCAGACTCTAGTTGAGGTAGAAATGAGGAAGACCATGATTCATGAACGGCTATGACGGCCGAAGTTGTAATGGCTTGTTAGACAGAGATCAATGAACATTATTTTCGAGCACGTTTTATTTGTTATTAATACATACCACAAATGCAGTAAAAATACTGCCTGTACCGCAAACTTAATAATTTATTTTGTAGCATCCTAGCCGCCAGTCAGTACATTGCACCGTCTGCTTTACGAATAACTTCTAATATAAAGCGATAATACATTGAATTGATAAAAATAATATAATTGGTACCTATATCTCCACTTTCGCTTTATACGAAAACAACTTACAGAAAAAAAATACTTTTAAAAGAAGGTACCTACGATAAGAAATTTTAATTACAGATTACATTACTACAGTAAGAACGCTATTAGATTTTATTTATTTATAATCTTACTGCGCTAACTTGAAGTATTCACTGCAAATAAATTCAAGAACATTCAGAATTAAGCTCAGAATTTTTTCTATTCTATACACTGGGTTAACTTTTACATTGCTAAAAGCATTAACAGCACGTTTAAATTACTGTCGAAAGAGGAGGTCTCCCCCACCACTGTACCATAAAAAGTTCGTGGCGGTCTCACCCCCATAAAAAGTTATGGGGGTTCAAAGTTAATAAATATGCCAATTTTTATACATTTCTAGTCATGTAAATATTTATATAGTCATTCTTAAACAATATTCAAAGGTAAAACTAATGAAAAATACATAAAAATATTGAGAAAGTTATAT